ATTATCAAGGTTTAAAGAGAGGTTTCCTTTCTTTGTGGAGCATAGTTTTTTAAAACTTCTTCCAAGAAGGTGGAAGTTTATCCATTATGCCACAAACATTAAGGTTATCTCCAATTTTAACCTGTTCAGACCTAATCTCTCCAACAATCATGATAAAGTTTTGAGCTTGGTCTACCACCGATATAATTGTCCACTATTTGGAAACGAAAAAATCTACTAGCTGCATATTTTTTCCTCCAGCTTCTTCGGTGTCATACTTACTCTGCAATGTTTTCCAAATTTTCTTTGAACTAGAGTAAGTTCTATCATAATAATCTTAAAATTTATCATACAGACAATTAAGAATATACACCGACACTTATACCGACCATCGTACATTTACTTTCTCCAGATGAGAAATACTTTCATCATCATAGAGATGATGTCTTCTTTATCCGGATATTCTCAATTAACACATTAGAAACATTGAGAAGACTTAAGTAGAAAAGTATTTTATCCTTTCATCTCTTTAAATGGTTATCATTGAACTGAAATGACTTGTTAAGATCACCCATCTTGACATCCGCGATTTTTTCAATTGTAGTCATGCATGAATATCCTTAAAATTGTTAGTGAAAACTTACAAGATAACAAAAATAAAAAATTACAACTGAAAAATGAAACGAAGAAAATAAATCTCATCAGGGTGAGGCGCGGATATCTCGCTCTGTTTAAGGAGATTCATGTTCTCTTTAAGGAGATTTAAGCCCACTACTTATAAGAACTCTCTTTTTGACTAAATCTTTCACTCTATATTTTTTTTGTGTGTGTTATGTTACAAATCAAATGAAGGCCACCACTATTTATACTACAAATAGTCTTCCTAGCAATGAATAAAAAGATAATGGTATAATAAATAGTGAAGATAATGATCGTAGGAGTTACATATGTCATAAAGAATAATGAAAAATAAAGAGTGATAATGAAGAAATAATATAGAGAATGGCTAAGAGGCCACTACCATTGCTACAAGAGTAACAGTCAGCACTTACTCCAAATGGAGTAATGCTCCAAGTAACTGCCCAACGGTGGTTAAGACATAATTATCCACCTAACAACATGATGCAATACTTTGACTCTACACATTTTTCAAGCAAATTAAAATATTAAAAAACTAATATTAAAATGCTAACAACCAACAGCTAACTGTACAAGTTAAGAAATACATCCACATGAAAAGGCAGTTTGTGGACTATTCATTTCCATGTTTCTTCAGGTTTATGACACAAAAAAGTCAATCAGAAGGAATAATTTGAAGCAGATTTGAACAAAGGAGATTAAAAAAAGCCTTAGAGGTATAGATTCCAAATCAAAACATGATTTCAATAGAGTTAAATGGATTGTATAAGGGTAGTATAGACTTGCGAACAGTATATATAGATAGTTAATCTCTACAAAATTTTGGCTGAATTAGCAAATTCTATATTAACATATTGGATTAAACTAGACCCTCTTGGTGTTAGATTTCTTGATAGCTGTAGAGAGTAAATCTCTGCATTTGTCAAATTGGATGGTCTTAGTGTATGATTTTCCAATAGTAAGAAAAAGACATCCTTTTTTCTCAACCTCATGTTTAGTATAACCTATACTTTTACTATGAGCAAGATTGAAGACACTCATTTGCAATATATGATTCAACTATAGAACCTTCTAGACAAGAATCAGATTACGAACATATATACGATTTTAACTTACGCAAGTACTTATTGCATAAAATTATCAAATAAGTCTAATATCTTGCAATTTAATTACTTAAAATATATGATTAACATATAATATGATTCTTTGTACCTCTCAATTGGGTACATCCAATGATATTGAACTGGTCCCTCGATTACCTTTGTATTCCTTTAAAATCAATAGTTATGATATTTCTTATTGTATTCCCTCCTTATTATTTGATTGTTTTGTATTTATTATGACATTTTTATTGTAGTTGTGTTATGAGTTTTACAAGTTATTGTATCTATATGTGTTTGTATTTATTATGCTTTGTGTATCATTTTTTAATTATGGACATCGCATGAGTGTTGTTTGTATCCAATCAATTTAAGATACATATTAAATTTATACATTTGTATTCATTTTTAAAAATCAGTGATGATTTTTCATATTATAATCTGAATGACATATTTGATGTACTCATTAGATCAAATATAGTTATTGTATATGTATGGTTTGAATTATAAGTTATATTATGGTATAAATTTGTATTTATTTGATGTGGTTTCTAAGTTACACTATGAATTTTTTAATTTTTTTATATGCTTGCCAAGTCATGTGTTATTTCATACGGAACTCGTTTGTGTAGGGAACTGCTTTTTCCTGCAAAAATCTACCCACCCTTATTTTGAATTTATTTGGTGTACTATTTTGAATTTCGTATTCACATTTATTTATGTATTTGAATTTTTATTTCTCTTCACTTAATGTATGTAGAAATTGAGTATTTGTCTTACCAAATAGAAAAAATAGTATTTCCAGCAGAAAAAATCTTCTCAAACATTTGTAAATTGAACAATCTACTTATCAAATATACCTTGTTCATCGCCGATGATTTTTCATACATGTTTGACAGTGCCTTGAACAGATCGGATGTAGTCTTCTCCTTCACGATGTTGAACGTCACGTTTTTTGACAAGGTCAATCGGATCTACCCTAGAGCATGACGATCCTTGAGATTTCACTTCTCCTCCTTCATGGATTCCGAACTTTACCGCGGTCAATGGTTCATGAAGATCTTTCTGGTACAAATAATCTTTGATCTGCATCTTCCAAAAATTGAAATTGGATCCATCAAACTTCTCGATTCCATGATTTGAACAATCCATCTTCACTGATCGTGTTGAATCTCCTTAGCTCTGATACCAGTTTTTAGGATCGAATCTATACACACACTTGATGAATGAAGAACACAAGAACTTTTGAGGGAGAGAAATGAGAGATCTAGAGAGAGTAAGAGAGAAACCAATATTTCGTGGTAAGACCAGTTAGTAAACTTCCACGGCGGTGGGGTATATATATTAATAATTCAGAGTATTTTTAGTTAAAGAGAATCAATGGAGAATAAATAGTACAACCTAAAATTTGTGTCGGGCTGCTGCCCTCAACCCCTCTTTGGATGAGGGGCTCCCGCCCCCCCCTCCCCCCCTCCCTCCCCATAACTCCCCGGCAACCTCACCGCGGAGGTTGAACCACGTGAACATTAATATATGACAGTACACCAAATATTAATCAGGCTCCACAACCTAACAGAAGTGTGATGAATCCCTCCCAGGTGAAGCATGATAAATAGATAGCAATATCATAGATATCCATCATAGTCATTGCTTGTAAGAAAAATGTGACATTCAGAAATTTAAAATCAATTTTATGATTATGAATTTACCTTTTGAACCATCAAAACTATTAGGGTGAAATCATAATCATGGAACCGGTATCGGTTTTTTTTGTTGGGTAATGAATAAAGTGGGTGGGCTAAATAGGTTTTTGGGTTAAATAATTGATCAAATCGGGTAGAGTTGTTGGATTTGCGCCACGTGTACTATATAACTTTTTTGTTCGTGAGAGGGGCAAATCTGTACTGAATTTTGGACGACAAGGGTATTAATAAACGTAAAGTATGACGAAGAGTATTTATATACCATTAACGATAGTTCAAGGATATATTTATCTTTTTTCACTTATTTAATTTATTACCCCATTCAATTTTAGTATATGACTAACTTTGTACAGATTTTTGAGAAACGGTAACTAATATGAGTATTTATCATAATATCTATATAAATTGATATATTCCTAAATTTTGAAAAATAATTTAAACAATAAATCATTAATATTGAGAATAATAATAGAATTTTCTTTGAAATGCGACGCATTAATATAATAATAAAAGTAAAATTATTTTTTCAATTAATAGACATATTAAAATAAAAGAAAGGAATTAATAATACTTTACTAAAGATTCACTGAACCTTACTTTGGAATGATAACTTAAAGAGACAATATTGTAAACTCAAAAGAATAAGACACACATGCATGAATTTTTAGCGGAAGTAAAAAAGGTAGTGTATTATTAAATTTATTATAACAGGTCAAAAGTTTGAATGTAAGACAGAAAGTGTAGAAGTTTGGTATGTAAATGAATACTACACTATTTATTTATCTATAAATCAATTGGATAGTTATTGCGTGAAGATGAAAACTTTCTCAATTAATAATTTGATTTATTTCACTATTTGGTACAAAATTTATAGTCCTTTCTTTCTTTTTATTTATTTGTCAAATATTATCAAGTTTAATTTCCCAATCTACTTATCATGTTTGACAATTTTTTCTTTCATACCCTCAATTTATTTATATTGGCTTAATGTCTTTTAAAAATGTAGCAAGTAAATCTGTTTAGAACTCTATTAATTAATAGAGGTAAATAGTAAACTCACTGTACTAATCATTGTTCTCTTAATAGTGCGGTAAGATAAAATTTGATAAGTAAAAAGGGACGGAGAAAGTATATGATTTAAGCATAGTTTTTTGATGAGGGATGAAAATGTCGTTTAAGTTTCAGTGGATATTTTGGAAATTTAATTTTATGATTTTAGGGCTATATTATTATTAGTAACTATTGTTATAGATATAGATATATATAGTCTTAACAAAATAAAAGTTCATGTCCATAATGTTAAATTCATTGTTGGAGTGTTTGTTCTATGCTTTTTAAAAATATAAATATAAAATAATAATATATGAGCGTAATATAAACAATTTGCTAATAATAAAGTTTACAAGTTGATAGGGTTGTGTAATAATGATGTTTCAGTTGCTATTCAAATGAAACGTTTGCTATTCCAAGCTGATCGATGTTTCAGTTGCTATTCCAATTATTTATGTATGTATATAAAGAAGAAGGTTTATTATTGTAAATTACTTTTAATTGTGCGATGAAGAAAGGTTTGGCTAATTGAGCTGTTTGTGTATTATATATTAATAAATGAATATTTGAATTTTAATTGGCGTATGTGTGTGTTTACAGGGAAGAGGGAAGCTGAGAATGAAATTGACAAGAGTAGAAAGAATAAAAGGGTAGGTAATACAATACATACATATATTCAACATAATTAAGTTATATTATTAATTCTCATGATATATATATACAGCCGGCTCTTTCCAACAATGCAAAATTAGGCAGCAACAGTTGTGACAAGGATGAAGTAATTACTTATACCTCTTATCTTCTCCTACTACTATTCCATTTTTTTATATATAGTAACACTTTGGCAGACTAACTCATATATATCTCCTGTTATTGCTCTATAATTAATTAATTGTCCAAGCTCGTTGCGCCTTCAAGTAAGAATCATCATAATCAGGTCGAAAAATCGTCTAGTTCTAATGACGATGATAGCGTCTCTAGTAAGGAAGAATCGTCTAATTCTGATGATGATAATAGCATCTCTAGTAAGGAAGGATCGTCTAGTTCTGATGATGATAGAAGCGTCTCTGAAAAGGAAGAATCATCTAGTTCTGATGATGATAGCAGCGTCTCTAAAAAGGAAGAATCGTCTAGTTCTGATGATGAAGATGATGTTAGCACCTCTAGTGCGGAGGATGATGATGATGCTGTTTCTAAAATGGAAGAATCGCCTGGTGAAGGATCTAGTACTGACAATGACCGTAGCTGCTCTGCCAAGGATGATGCTGTAAGGGCATAATACATCTATCTATAAATATATATATGTTTAAGTCATACATGCAAATATTTATATTTAATCCTTTTTGACAGAAAGTTAAAAAGACTAGTAGTGAAGAAGAACCCCATCATTCTGATTCTGATTCTGATCCACACAAGGTTTGACTGATTCATATTATCTGTCTTCATTCAATCTCTTCACTATTTGATTTCCATGTCCTCAATCTTATTAGGGAATGGCTGTTGTTCTATCTAAAACGAAGGTTGACAATTGTGATGATCAACAAGAGGTACATACTAGTTAAAAAAAGAAACTAATTATGTTGGTGAATGAATGAATATGTATAATTATGTTTGTGTTATTAGATTCACTGCAGGGAAGAACCATGGAACGAAAATGAGACACAGTTTCTCATCACAATCCTATATGTGGAATTGGTGATGCATGAGAAAGACGTCAACCAACTAGACTGGGCAGAAATTGTTCAAAAATTATATCATCAAACACACAAACAAACTAGTGTAACCCAAGTGCAGGCATTGTATAAAAAATTTAGAGATCAAACAAACCAATTCATGGATCTCTTAAAAGTTGTTGGTTATGAATGGAACCCAAATAACAATAATGTTACTTGTAACGATGAGGTGTGGGAACATATTTATTGGGTAAGTTTAAAGCTATATTTATATATATATATATATATACACACACACATTGTTTATACTATGGTTGTCTAATAAATTTATCTTGTTTGACTTACAGATTCATGGTGGTGACAAGTTGTTTAGAAACAAAGGGCTTTTACATTATAATCTATTAAGTCACATATTTGGCAGTGGTAATAAACATTTTGTGGAAGAATCACATGTACATGTCCAAAGAATAGCACAAACTACTTCATTCACCTCAACAAGACTTTGGAGGTGGTTATTTGGTTAAACACATTTTGTCTATCATTATTATTCCTATGAAAATATGAAGAATGAGATTCTCTGTGTCTATCTCTCCATATTTTCTTTATGTTATGAATATATATATTGTGCAAGATTTACCATTGACAGTCTCAATATTTTCTTATTTTGCAAGATTATCAATTTTTTTATCAAGCCACAAACAGTCGAGTCAATTCACATATTCAATTTCACCATTTTCCTCAGACAAAGCTAAATAATTAATCACGAAAATCAACTAAAGAATCAACACATTTATCAAATATGCCACCTGTCTCGGTATAGGTGATGGGATGACCCAAAGTACCCCTAGACGTGACATGGTGAATAGAACCCCAAGAGACCCTAAACAAGCCACTTGGATAAAACAATGACTTAAAGTGAAGATACACAATATGAAATCGATCATACAGCTAAAAAGATTTTAAATCATAATATCTCATCATAAGAGAATTCTCAATACAAAACTTTAAATGTGGAAGCTATACTAGGTCTACATAGATCTGGTTAGTACAAATTATTAAACCACGAATAAGTCTGAAATTGAGAAGAAATGAAAGAAATAAGTTGATTAAAGGAGATTCAACCTTTGAACCATGAGGATTCACATCTAGCAAGTGACGCTGAAAGATCCAATCTAGCCACGATCGAATGGAGAGGTGTCAAATCCTTTATTATAAAACAATATAGACACAAGTACGCATCAATACTTTAAATGTACTGAATATGGGGAACATGCATAATAACATAAGCACAAATCATGAGAAGTTTAAAAATGTAGTAATGCATGACCAAGTGAAACAATATCAAATCTTGATAATCTAGTATCATAAATCATGAGAAAAAGGTCAATGCAAAACTATGGGAAAATTATGTTATGAGTTTAATTTTATTTTAATGTATGAGAGAGACCATTAACGGACATAAAACATGAGATCTAATCATGAAGTTCAATGTATTACCCCATCCAGAGGGCCCTAAGCATCTTGCCAGGACATTAAAGTTCATTACTTTGAGACTTGGGTACTTGCCACTAGTCACGGAGTTCAATGTACTATTAATTTTTATAAGAGGACCCTCTATAGTGACGTGCCGCTACCACAATTCCGGATTCCTATTTTCCCTTTATTTTTGCTATGTATGCCCTTGAGTGATTAGAAAATTAACATAAGTCGCATCCTCGGTTGCAATGGGTAGTCTTTGTTTCTTCTTACCCCCAGGAAACCTTTTCGGCCCTCGGCATTCTTTGGTCTCCCTATATGGTGTATTTCTTTCCTCGATCATGCCTTATTTGTTCCTTCCTAATTTATTCTTTATTTGCTTTAGGCTTGTATAGTTTCTTGATTTTCTGCTTCTTCTCTCATTGCAATCTCCATCTTCTGTGCTACATTTACTTTCATTTTGTATTTTTATTTTGACTTTATTGATTCATCACATCATTGTTACCATTTTAGTTGTGAAGAACATGATCTTAAGTGGTTATCAAGTTCATTCATAGCGGAAAAATTGAAAACCCAGTCCATGTTTGTTTTGATACCCATGAAGTGTTCAAAAAGACTGTCCTCTAGAGGTACATTGCCAACGACATCTGGAAATGACTTCAAAATTCGCTCAGCATTTATCATCTCAAGGCTTTTTGAAGTGTTTGAAAGATAGTCCTCTAGAGGCATATTTCCCATGGATTTTGAAAATGGCTTCAAAGTTCACTCAACGTATCCTCTCTCAGGGCTTCTTTTTCATGGCGTTCTCTTTCAAAACTGCGCAGGCCATGCTTATTTCCGTACCCATGAAGTGTTCGAAAATTCCCTCGAGAGGCACATTGCCAACGATTTCTTGAAACCAAATGTGGATGACATTATATTTTTGGCATCCATTAAGTGTTCAAAAAAATGCATACATTGCCAACAACTTCTTGAAATGGCTTCAAAAATCACTCAACAAATACTGTCACAAGGCTTCTTTTTCTCGGCTTTCTCTTTCGAATCTGCATGTCATGCTTATTTTGGCACCCATGAAGTGTTATAAAAAATGCACTCTGCCAACGACTTCTGGAAATTGCTTCAAAATTCACTCAAAAGGTATATATTATGTCAAGGCTACTTTTTCTTTGGCTTTCTCTTTCAAGCCAAATTTTGCCCTGCAATAATGTGATCGAGATTTAGATGGGCAATTATTTTAGACACTTTAAGTTCAATTACGGAATATATTTGTTCAATTAATACTTTCATAACAATTCGACACCCAAATTATCATGTATATAGTTATTGATAAAACTGCAACAAACAACCTTAAATAATTGTGATCATTCAATTGTACAACGTACATTTACATGATGAGACAATATTTTCTATCAAATATAGATTATAATTTAGTCATTCTGAGTTTAGACTATATTACTTTTTATCTAAAGAATAATTTGTTCAGTAAATTGTGATTATCGGACATACTTCTGATCACATGATGATGTTCTTACACGTTTGCCTAAGCTTATTTGAGATCTCTATTTTACTTGTTCGTTTGATTAATTTCTTAGCATTTCGTTTGATTTCTTTAGCAAGAGTTGGAATGTTTGTTTAATTATGGGCCATGTTATTTATCTTTGTGGAAGTTTGTTTTTAGTTACTACAGTAACTTTAAGTAAAATAAGTTATTTAATTTGAATACATTTGAATTTTGAATTTTTGTTAGTTTGTTTATGTTGTTGAGATATTTTAGATTGTCTAAATTATAAATTATGCAGATTATGTATTTTATATTGGCTATGTAAAGCCCCTCAATGCTTAATACAATTATTGAAAGCTATTGAAAGTCATTTCAATCCTGAGAGACATTTTAAATTATTTTTATGCTGCCCTTCTTTTAAATAAGGGTATCATAGCTTCATTGATCTTAAGGGATATGTGAAATCTTCAAATGAACTACCATACATTTTAACCCGTAAGGGCTACTTTTTTAACCTATTAGGGCTACTCATTTTAACCCATCAAGGATACCTTTTTAATTCGTGCTTTTTTCAACTCAAACTTTTCTAAATTATTTTTTAATTAATATAATAGCAAGCAACAGTCTCTCTTTGAATGTCCCACAAATTTTCACAGACGAAAAAATATCAAATTCGATCTGTGAAAATAAAACCATATTTTGAAACCTATGTGATATGTGAGATTGTGATGGATGAAAAACTGTTGCAACCTCTTTGTACAAATCATACAAAATATCAGATTAAAGCATTTTCAAAAAACATCTACACAAGGCTAGGGACAATGATATCGCATGTGTCTTTGAAGAACAAAATCAAAAGAAGAAAAAGAACTATGAAGAAATTTTAGAAGTTCAAAAACAATTAAAAAAAATCCAGCATCAACTACAAAAGCGAAAATTGAGGAGGAACATTTTTTTCAATTGCTGTAACTAAATCAAAGAAGTAGTGTTGAAGTTTGTTTTTAGTTACTGCATATTTAGTTTGAATAAATTCGAATTTTGAATTTTAGTTAGTTTGTTTATGTTGTTGAGATATTTTAGGCTGTTTAAATTTTAAATTATGCAGATTATGTATTTTTTTCAATTGCAGTAATTAAAGCAAAGAAGGAGTGTTGAAGTTTGTTTTTAGTTACTACAATAACTTTTAATAAAATAAGTTATTTATTTTGAATAAATTTGAATATTGAATTTTAGTTAGTTTGTTTATGATCTTGAGATACTTTAGATTGTTTAAATTTTTTATTATGCAGATTATGTATTTTATATTAGTTATTTAAAGCCCCTCAATGCTTAATAAAATTATTAAAAGCTATTGAAAGTAATTTCAATCCTGAGAGATATTTTCAATAATTTTTATGCTGTCTTTTCTTTTAAAAAAACACCAACACTCTTCCTCCTATTTTTGATTGGATCCTTACACATTTGATATAAATAATAGAGCTCATCATAGCCACAAATAAATGTGTTGGTCTTAAGGGTGAACTATAAAATATTTTCTAAAAAAGATTACACCATTCTTGAATTGATGATCCATCAGATAATACTTTCTATTGTAATGAAATTTGGATCTCATTGCAGTGTTTCAGAATGCATCATGACTCTTCATACAACAGGGAATTACAAAGCAGAGGTGCAAAGTTAAAAGCACCAGATAGAACAACAACTATAGGAAATTCCTGGTCGCCTATGTTGTAAGCAAATCATGTGAGTTGGTGCAATGTTTGTTAGATCCGAGAGGAAGCCATCTCACTCACCTCTATGATGTTCTTGATCGTAGATAAATTATTTTTCCAAAAATTTATTTCTTTACTTAGCAGTTATGTCTCACTCTCTATGATGTTCTTGATCGTAGATTCAATGATTTTTCCTTAAATTTTAATGTGTTTTATCTGTGTTTTGCAGGAAAGTTGTCCAAAACAGAAATGCAGAAGGTTGTGTAGAAACAAGTGCAGAAGTGACCCACGAAGCCATCGATGGCCCGTCGTCCCACCGACGTACTGTAGGTGGTGATCGTCGACTGGAGGTTCAAGTATCTGGAAGTAACTCGGAAAATTCTGACTAAGTGTGGGGCTACAGAAGGATCAACGGTGCGTCGACTGATCGACGGACCGTCCTGGCGAATTGTTGATGAGATCAGAGACTCCTCCAGTACCCGATGTTGAAGAAAAGCTAAGTATGGAACAACGATGGGCATTGACGGACCATAAGTGAATCGATGGACCGTGCTGCTGGACCGTTGATTGGATTAGAGAATATGGAATTTGCAGGCTTTGAAAAGATGCTAAATATTGACCGACGGAGGTAGTCAATGGTCCGTCGTTTGACTGTCAGACCGTCTGAGGAGTTGTCGACTGAGGCCACATTTTGGACAAAACTTTCCTTATTTTTGAATCCTTTTTAATGTAGGACTCTTTTTATTATAAATAGGGTAAATAACCTCGTTTTGGGGTTGGATATTTTTACTATTTTCATACCTTTATTCTTGGAAATTTGATTTGATAATTTATTCAAATTTCCACATTTGTTTCAAGACAATTGTGTGATTTCAAGTTGAATTTCTGGATTTTTCTTCCAATTTTTTAAAGTAAGTTCATGATTT